GCAGATGCCCATGTCCACATGCACACGGTGCCTCCCCCGAGAAACCTGCAGTAAGGTTTCTCTGTGTATCCACATCCCTGCTCCAGAGGCAGCCCAGCCCCAGGTAGGGCAGGTACCACTTCCCACAGAGTGCCCATCCCACACCTGGGGCAGCCCGGCTGCAGGCAGGGGGCAGGCAGGCAAGCAGCTGACCATTCCCAGTGCCTGGTCCCTGGGCACTGTTACCATGGCTACCTCCACATCCACTGTGCATCCCGCATTCAGTACGCGGTCCCCTGCTACAGGAGCTCATTGCCTGTCCACCCGGGCACCACAGGACTGGTGGAGGGAGGATGCATTAGGGCAAGACCCAACCAAACCCCATTCCTACTGGCAGGCTGGCACCAGTGTACAGCTGGACCAGCAGAACCAGGGAGCATTTGGCCCAATTCACACAACAAACGCAGGAACGATACAACTGCAGGCTAGGAAGAAACTGTGGCAAGACAGAAAAAGAACTGCTTAAACTAAAAACAAGGGCTGGCAAAACATGGGGGTGGGAAGAATGCATGGGCATGAGATAGACCTGAATATGCTTTGTCTGGAAATTAGGAGGTTTCTAGTCTTTAATACAAACAATCTCTGGAACAGTGTCCTAATAGCAGAAGAAAGAAAAAAGCTCTAAGTGATGCTCAGCACATTCATGAGGATGTTACACGAGTGGGTGCTGGCAGCAGTGGGGAGCTGGGCTTGGAGAACCAGCTCCTGCCCTCACACCCCCTCTCACAGCTCCAACTTGCACCCCACATGCTGCCCAGCTCCAGCAGCCACTGCTGACAGCCAGGATGCTGGAACAGGGCGAGATCCAGGCAGCAGTCAGGGCTCAGCTTCAAGGCCAAACTTGCACCTGGTTCCATCTGAACACAGCAATCTGAACACAGAGTTTGGACTCGAGCTCTTCAAATCCCTGTTACATCTCACCACTGTCACCTGCCTTCTTCCACCATTTTGGGTGGGTTTTGCAAAGAGCTGGACTAGATCCAAAGCAGAGTCAAGGAACAGCTCCTCCTGGTTTGGCATCCAGCTTGGAGGCAGATGTTAACTCCAAGCAGGGATTCATCTACCCCCACGAAATTGGAAAGAGGTCTGGGCAGAATGAGCTGTTTTTAGCTCCTGGAAAAAATGCCTCTTCCTACTGTTGCTGCTGAAGTCCTGTTCCTGTTTCCACAGCAGCCGCTAACGACAACCAGAGCATCTGACTCCAGGTACACAACAGGCAATGGCAACAGAGGGACTCCGCCAGCAGCCCCCAGGACCCTGCTGCTGTACGGATACACTTCGGGATGAAGGGGAAGAAGGATGATAAAACAAACATGGGGCAAAGCAAAAAGGTGGTTTTGCTGCTGTGGTTACTGTGAGCTGCCCTTTGGGAGGAATCCTCCTTTGGGGAGGACAAGGTAGCTGCTAAGCGTGGGGCACACAGCGAGCCTGCTGGCTGGAATCACGCTTCTTGTTGAATCTGAATTTAAACTCCTTGGCGTGTTCCCAACCCCAATAAATCGTGCCGTGTGGACAGATATTATGTCCCTTGTGCTACTAAAACAACAACGAGGCTTAAATAAAACAGTGGAGCCTGGAGCGTGCAGCAGATGAGGAAACAAGGCAGCCCCTGGCAGGCTCCATCTCACATCCCGTCCACACCAGGGATGCAGGCGACACGGTGCTCGCACACCGGCTCCACCGGTGCTCTGCCCGCAGAGACGAGCCGGATAAAAGCGGTGCTCTGCGTGTGAGCAGACATTACACCGCTCCTCCGGCAGAGATAAGCTGCAGTCTCACTCGAAGGCAGGGGGGAGGAGGGTCACCCCAGCACACGGCGCTGGGTGCACAGAGGCTCCGAACAATCTCTGCGCCCTGCTTTTGTCATGCAAAGAATCTGGGGCCCCTCCGCAAAGGGGGTGCCCTGCAAAGGCAGGACCATAACCCCTCACAGCCCTGTCGGGGAGCTGCTCAGAGCAAGCACCAACACCACGACCCCCAACACATCGGAGCAGAGCCCTGGAGACACCTTTTGAAGTTTCCTCATTGAATTTTCCCTATTTAACAAGGGCGCCGGCACCGGCACCCAGACCCCATAGACCCCGAGTCCCCAAGCCCGACACACAGAGCCTCAAGCAGTCACCGCGTATTTAAATGCAAACCGAGGAGCTGAGAACTGCAAAGGCTTCAACAATAGCAATGCCGGCTCTGCCTCACATTTGCATGCAGACAAGCAGCGTAAAAACAAGGACAAACACAGACTTGAACCTCCCCTTTAAAGCCTTACCCGGGTGTTGCTACCCCCGTCCGCCGCTACCGCAGCCCCGCCGTGCGCTGCCCTCGGGTCCGATTCCACAAGCCTGGAACGCCCCTTACCCGGTGTCCTCGCCGCGCTGCGCGGAGCCGGCAGTGCTGGAGCCCCTGCGCGGGGCGGTGCGGTGCGGTGCGAGCGTTACCGCAGCCCCGGGCTCCCAGGAGCCTGCGCCGGGCGCTGCGCACCCGCAGACCCCCGGCCACGCACCGGCGGCCCCGCTCCCAATGGCAGAGCCGGGGCTGCCGCCGCCCCAACGCCTCACCCACGCACAGGGAGAGGTGCGAGAGCTGCTCAGGGCAAGTGCATCAGGGAGATGGAAACTGGGACTGGGTCCCTGCAGCGGGAAGGGAAGAATGTGAGGGTCAAGTCGTGATGGGCGCCTGGGGGGGTCACTGGAGCAGCACCCACCGGGGAGAGCTGAGGAGCTTGGTCATTGCACTGCCCAGAGTGAAAGGGCTGGTTTGGGAAAAGATAGCTAGAAAATGGAGCAGCCCCCTTTGGATTCAGCTTCGAAAGCAGACTTTAGCCTTCATGTGGGCTCCTTCATCTGTTACAGCAGAATTACAGACACAGACCTGACAAAAGAGCAGCTTCCAGGGCCAAAAGTCTGGACCCACTGAAGGGAAAGGCAAAAGCAAAATTCCCATTCCCACTGACAGGCCCCTCCTTTCTAGCTCTTTCTACCCCAGCCTCAGGCTGCTGTCCCCCAGCAGAGCCCAAAGGTGAGCCTGCACCAGAGCACAGCCTGATCATCACAAGTTTGGTCCCACCGGTTCCTAAAGCAATTCAAGGAAACTAATGTAATTCTCTTTTTGTGCTGCCTGGTCCCTGTGGAGCGCACCAGTAACACACACCACTTGACCAGGCCAGTGTTTGCACGAGGTGACAAACAGCCACACAACTCCCTTCTTGCCCCCAACCGTGTCACTACCCTTATGCAAAGCAGCAGCAGTCAGTGCAAAACAGAGACAGTGATCCAGTGAATGTGACAAATAAAGCAACAGCTTGAAATGCCACAGATCATCCCGGTGTCAGTGTGCCACCTGAGGCACCATAATGTGCCTTAGATGCAGCCTCAAGCAACATGCTATAGCAGAAACAAGTACTGGTGCTGGGCACAGCTGCCTGCTCACCGGGCCCACCAGACCAGGAGGCTGCAGGACAAACAAGATGCTTGGAAGTGGTGATGCATCCCCAGCACAGCTCACTCCCATCCTGTGGAGCAGCCACTGAAGCCAGCTCGCTTCAGGTTTGTGCCCCAAGCAGGACCTGGCTGCAGGCACTGCCTGAGCAGGCTGCTCTGCCTCTGCTCAGAGTCAGCTGGGCAAACCTGGGACTCACCCAGCTGGATTTGCACTTGGGCTGCTCGGGGTGACAGCCCGAGCTGCAGCCCAGGTGAAGGTTTCACCCCCATAAGAGCGATGCAGGCGCTGTTCTTGGCTCTACCAGACTTCTCCAGGTAATTCCCCTGCCCACTGGGAAATCAGTTGCATCCAGTGGAATTAACCACAGTGGTACTTCACACTAATTATAAATGACGTTGCACACGTTGACGTTCCACATGCCGCATGATGCACGTGCGTCAGGGGTGAGATTACACAGCCTTTGGTAGCAATTTCCTATAATTACTTCAGATTAACGACCAGCATGGTGATTGCAGCTTCTGGGAAGCCTCTCTGGTGGGAGCCAGAGGAATCGCTGCCTCAGGATGCCGCCAGCGCGCACACCATGGCTGCTGCCGAGGGAAGCAGGGACCTCACTCCTGCAAGCCTCTTCTAGGTGTGGATGTCGCCTCTGGGAGCAGGACAGAGCCCTGCCTGCACAGCCCATGGGCTCCAGAGCACCGTGCACCTCCCAGAGACCCCTCACCCTGCGAGGTGCCTCCAAGAGCCCTTCCCCACCCTGTGTTTCAGGCACCCCCTCCCTCCCCAGCCACCCTCCCACTGTTGGTCTGCTCCAGGCAACCCTGGCCAGATAAAGACTTGAGGGCTTTAAGGAGAAAAACTACTGCAGAAACAAAGAGGGAAAAGCTTTCAGCCACCCGGGGACTTGGGTGTTGCAGTGCTCTTAATGGGCAGCACAACAGACACTGTCCTATACGTGTCTTGAGGCCCACAGGGCTCTTATGTTAATTGCATTCTATCACCAAACACTGGGATCCAAACTGACAGCAACACATGTGCATCAGCAGGGAAAGCCACAGCACATGCCCAGGACATGGCCTCAGTGAGCTGTGATGGAGGGAGCTTAAGCACCAGACCGGGGTATCAGAACAAATACTGTCCAGAGATCACTTATGCTGGGAGATCTGCATACCCTGGCACCAAATCTGGTTTTTAACTAAATCTCAGGTGTGCTGCACGCATAAAGCAGGTCCTCAAAGGTTGTGTGACCAAAAGCATGGAGGATTAAAAAAACTACAGGCAGGCAGTAACTTGTCCTTTGCACTGCTTTATACCAGAGGGGTGTTTAGAGGATGCTTGCAGCTCCCAGCTGCTGCATCTGGGACTTCATTTTACTGCTGTTTAAAGATGTTCAGGTATTCACAGGGCCCCAGAGACAGGCTGAGGCTCAGGAGACCCACGTCGAAGCTACGAGGGCTTGTGGCAGAGCGGGTGGCACTGGGAGGGGATGCGCCAATGCTCCTGCAGCCCCGGCCCCCCCTTACCTGCTGGGTGAGCCCAGGTCCGCCCGGCTGAGGATGCGGTGCTGCTGGGGCGAGTACAGCCACTGGAACGCCGTCAGCGTCCTCTCCTCGATCCGAAACCGGCCCTCCCGCACGTACCTAAAAATAACAGCAGGGACTGGAATATTCACCAGCGCAGGGCGGGGGAGCTGCGGGACGGGGAGGGCGGCTCAGGGCCGGCCGCGGCTCCACCGCCTCCTTCACCGGAGCCCTGCCTGCACCCCTGCAGGTCCCCATCCTTCTCTGCCCATCAGGAGACGCTCCCACGGGCGCACGGCTGTGGCTGGGACCGGGCACCCTTTCGAGGAGCCAGCAGTTCCGAAGCAACCCAGGATGTTTCACTGTACATCCCTGGCAGGCAGAGGGGCAGCATCAGTACCCGGCTCAGCAGCACAGCCTGCTCCAACTGCTCCCGCACAGCTCTCACCAGCACCAAGCCCAGGCTAATGCCTTTCTAACATCATTTTGAATGTCAGGCCAGAAGCTGAGGCTTATTAAATAATATTCAAGTGATGAATTGGTGGCTATCTTGATTAGAGAAGTTCAGGTTCTCTGTTTAGTGAGCACAGTGTCAGTGACAGCAGTTGTTCCCATCTTTCAGAGCAGAGTCCTGCTGCCTGCCTCCATCTCAGCAGCCAGCTGCACTTCACACACCCTCCTCTGGACATGAAATTTCATCAGCAAGCCATTAATTATTTAAAGCCTCCGTGGTGCTGGCTGGAGACACGCACACAGCTGCAGCATCCAGCCAGGGCTGGGGCGAGCTCATGGTCCTCTCCTCCACACACGCGTGCTCTGGGTGGTACAATCCCACCAGGAACAGCAGGGATCGGGCCATGCTGCCTGGATGGGCCAAGGGGATGCTCCACTGTGCCCCGGGCTGCCTGCAGCCCTGCTGAGCAGGGACACGTCCGGAGCTGTTAGGTGCTCTGCTGCCCACCCGAACTCATCCAACACAGGGATGTGAGGTCCTGCCAGAGCTGGGGGCAGTGACAGAGCCAGAACCTCCTGCTGTCAGCAGAAGGAAACCCAAAAGGCTCCAGGAGTGTCCTCAGCACAGAGTGACCTGATTGTCTTGGTGAAAGCAAGCAGGGATGGTGCAGTCCCAGTGCTCCCCTGCAGCTCTTGCATGTGACAGCACTGCACAGAGTGGTGGCAGGCAAGCCAGGATGGCTTTTGGGAAGGAAGTTCAGGGATGGCAGAATGGCCAAGCCCAGCAGCCTCGGTAACAGCTGGGATCTAAGTGTGCACGAAGCAAAGTGCCCTCGGCTGCTGAGGGGGGAAACAGAATGAAAAGAGCTTCACAAGCTTAGAGTAATCCTCAGCCAATTTCCACTCTGGTTCACAAGGATCCCACCGCACCGGGAGCTCCAGCTCCATCCTGGCTCTGCTCCACAGCAGCCGGTACCAGAACAAGCCTGGGCCTGGTCCCAACTCTTACATCAGCAGCATCGGAGCCCCCCTGGTCACCATCTGGCATCGTGACAGCGTCCTGCTCAAAAGTCACAAGCCTTGGACGTCACAAACTACACAACTGCACACACAAAGACTCAGGGAGAGCTTGTTTCCAATGTCAGCCCATCCTGCTGCTCAGGGTGCTGCTATCATCCATCCTCATCTGAGGCTGAGGGTCCCCAAAGCCTGGCACAACCTCAGCACCCTCCACCCCCAGACAACACCAGGATGCCCCAAAGCATCCCAGTGTCCCAGAGGCAGCCCCCCAACACACCAGGCTGCTGCTGCTTGCCACACCACTCCTGTGTGGTTCAGGGCCACTTTCCGCACAGGAACTCTCTTTGGGATCCAACTCTTCTACTTCCACGGGTCCCCAAATGCCAGAGATACCCCGCGCTGCCCGAGGAGGTGACACCCCCCTCCTTTCCCTGCTGCAGCAGCCGCCCCGGGGGTCCCACCACAACCGGGATCAAGCAGCGACCCCCGGAGCTCCCCAGGCAGGGGCCGGGTCCCGTGTGTGCCCCCCCCCCCCCCCCGCGGAGCCCTCCCCTGCCGGGGCTCCCCTCTTCCCCCCGCCCAGCAGCCGGGGCACCCCGGGCTCGGAGCATCCCCACACCAGAGCCGAGACCCCCTTAAAGCTCAGCCCCTCCCCGAGCATCCACCGGGACCGCCGGCCCCGCACTCACCAGCGCACCAGCTCCCAGCGCCGCTCCCCCGCCGCCTTGCCCGAGGCCATGCCGCGGAACGGGGAGCCCCGCCGCAGGGCCCCGCTCCCGGTCCCGGTCCCGCCGCGCCGGCTCCTGCTCGCTGCCGCCTCCTTCGGCACGGGGGGACCGGGGTGGGGGGTGCCACACCGCCGTGCCCCGTTACGTAAACCTTGCACAACGCCCGCCCCCCGGGGCAGCCCCGGGGATCCGCTCCGCTCCCGGCCCGCAGCCCCCGCCGCTCCCCCGGCCCCGCCCGTTTGACAGCAGAGCCTGAGCCGAGCGGCACGAAGCGCCCGGGTCAGCCACCGGTGGAACGGAGCCCAGCGACGGGGTCCTGAGCCCCCCAGCGCCACACCAGGGCAGGCTCCGGGGCGGCAGCCGCCCCTTGGACCGCGGCTCTCCCACTGGTCCTTACTCACCCTTAGGAACCCAGAAAGAACCCAGCAGAGCTCCCCTGCAGGAGGTCCAGGAATGCTGAACAGAAAGTACTCTCCACAGACTGAAAGCTAAAACCTGCTGTCTGCCTAAGTGGGGGTCCCTTCCCGAGCAGCCCAGAGCTACAGGGTACGCAGGGTTACAGGATGCCCATGGTGCTCAGGAAACAGCCCAGGAGCATGCCGAGATGCTATTTCAAGGAGCTTCCAAGCCCACTAAAAGCTGCTTCTCAGAACCAATGTTCTGGCTCCAAATCCTGGCTATTCCAACCCCTGAGAACTTAACTTCACAACACAGCAAACCCAAATGCTGCACCCACAATCCATTTAAACCAGAATTTAAACCAACGCACCTGAAAGGCATTGGTGCCTCCATCCCATCTGCCCCTTGTCAGGAGCAAAGGGCAGCTTTGCTGTGCCAGCTGGAGAGAATGATGGAGCTGGTCCCTGGTAGGGCAGAGCTGTGGCCAGCCCCACACTGACCCCTCACAGCTCAGGCTGTTCCCCAGTGTCAGCATTGCTGCCAGAGGTCCTGGGCAGGGAAGCAGCAATGGGAACGCAAGGCCATAGGAGGGGTGCAGGGGAGGCCGGAGCTCTGCCTCCCACCCCTGGAGCCCGGGCACCCCCAGCACACCGGGTGTTGCACACCCGAGAGATTTAGAAACAAAACCTTTATTTTCCTTTTTAAAAGGAAAAAGTTCTACAACAGTGAGGGAGTTAACAAACAGGAGCGTCCGTGTGGCACAAACACGCTGGTGCATCCAGCATCTTTCATATCCCCCTTTGCATATCCGGACTGATCCCAACTGGGCATCCCCAGAGCCAGGACAGCTTTGTCCTGTTATTTCACAGCCCTTTGCCCTGGGTGAGCATCATGGGTCTCTTCCCCAGCACCCCCCCAGCCCAGCAGGCAGAGGAACAGCGCCTTGGAGAGGCAGCAATTGCATTACTTGGCTCGAGTCTGGTATTCTGAAATCCCGGTGGAAGTGTTAAGCTAATGTTAAATTTATGAAAACCCTTTAGCTTTTAGCCTTGCATCACTTTAAGGAGCTTCTTATTAGGTTCTTCAAAGCAGTAAGAAGACACACACACACTGTGCTTCAACTAGGGTGAAAAACAGCATTTGAGGCACAATTAAACTAATTTCTAAGTTAAATGCAACAATTCCCCTAATAATTAACTCAGGGTTGGAGGGGGAAGCCGTGGTCTAAAAGCACCCAGCTCACAAGAAGAGCATGGGATGCAGGTTTAACTTCCATGTACACTGGGATGCTTGCTCCCTTTGGGAAGCAGCTGTTTTATCCTGGGACCAGCCCCTGACGTGAGCTGGCCTGTGCTAACAGGAGGTGTTTAACCATGGCAGAGCCGCAGGCAGAGCCTCACGGCCCCCAGCTCCTGCAGCCAGCGGAAAGAGGTGTGGATGCACGGCCAGGAGCTGCAAGTGCAGTGGGAGATGACCGCGGCGGTTATGTGCCCTGCCTGGACGAGTTCCTCAGCTGAGATGGGATCAAACCCGACCTCAGTGTCACACAGAGGCCCCGAGCAAGGCCGTGGTGCAGAGCTCATCTTGCCCCTCTGCAGGGCGGCAGGGCCAGGGCTCAGCTCGCTGGTGCGGTGCCCAGCTCCGTGCTGCAGCCTGACAGGGCCGGGCTCACCCTCACACCCACCCGCACCCTCATCGCACCCACCCGCACCCTCATCGCACCCACCCGCACCCTCATCGCACCCACCCGCACCCACCGCGCCCCGGCTCTGGCGCTCAGCGAGCCGCGGCTGCCGGTACCGCTGCCGGTACCGCTGCCGCTAGAGGTCAGTGCCGGTACGGAGCTGCAGGCAGCTGCCTGCGCCCAGCCCTGCACGGCAGAGCTGCTGCCGCTGCCTGCAGCTCCTCTCTGCAGCTCCTCTCTGCAGCTCTGCAGTCGCCTCCTTCCTCTCTCCAGGGCGGCTTCCCCAGGGTGTAGCCGGGTCTCTGCAGCAAACCCCGGGGCTGCAGGGCTCAGATGGGTCTTTGCTGGCCCCTGCGCCCCGCTGCTGTCACCCCACCACTGTCACACCACTGCTGCCACCCTGCCTGCACCCAAGGGGTCGCAGCGAGCAGAGCCTCCTTCAGCACCCTCCTTCAGGATGCACTGCAGTTGGATGTCTCCCAACAATCAGCCATTGGAATCATCTCCCCAGGGAAGTGGTGGACTTCCCAACACGGGACACTGTTAAGATTCAGCTGGGCAGGGTGCTGGGACATCTAGTCTAGGTCATGCTTTGCCTAGAAAGGCTGGACAAGATGATCCTTGAGGTCCCTTCCAACCTGATATCCTATGGTTCTATGTGGTACAACAGGCGAGGAGCAGGCTCCAGAGCTCCATCACACATGTGGGCTGGCAGCAGGGACCCCACAACTCCTTTTAAGGCTGAAATGGCATTCCTGCCATTTTTGTCCTCTGTGGATCACAACCAACCTCAGACCTATCAGAGAGTGAGTCAAAAAAGCCAAGAGCAGCTCTCTGTGAGCAAAGGCTATTGGTGAAACCAGCTCACAGTGGAACGGTGAGAGAAAGCAGGAGAGATGATGTTAAATGTTAACAGCATGTGTGCACTGTGGCTGAATCCAAGCTACCAGCTGCTGCAGAGGGAGCCGGCCTCACCCCGTGCCATGCAGGGTGCAGAGGATGTGCCGTGCCCTGCTGCCTCCTGCTGCTGTATCCTGGGGCCACGGCCTCATTTCCTGTCCCCTGCCCCCAAATGCCTGACCTTGGCTGTGCACAGGCTTGCCTGTTGTTCAGTGGAAAATCAATGAAAGTTGTAAACGTGGTGAAACATGATGCACTGAGAGCTTCCCCTTCATCTCCCCCCCCCCCCCATCTGTAAATCACTGCTGCTCAGGTTAGCACACGAGTCAGGAGAAGATACGGTGGGACATTAAAAACAGCCCGCCAAACATCACAAGCTCCACCAAGAGGGACAGACACATCATGGCAAGCATTTACCTAATGGTTACGGATGGGTGAGAGGTTCTCCTAATGAAACAGCACTTCTCTGAGTGATAAAGTCTGCACTCTCCTCCTTCACACATGAATCCTTCACCTCTCAACAACCTGGGGCCCACACAGGGGTCAGTGTGATAGGATGAGTGTTAGGAAGCACTGAAGCTCTCATTGCGCTGATTGAGCTTTCAGCAGAGATGTCTGAATAATTCATTGCAAATCAGAAGCTTGTGTGTGCATGTGCAGACCATCACACCTCATGGTCACCTCTTCTCCTGATCTAATGAGTTCTCTTTTAGCATGGCCTAAACTTACACTCTGAGGAAGAGCCCTAAGTCCAAGCCCAGCCCTGCTTTGCCCTCAGCACCACGCCAGCCTGTGCCATACCACTTGGTGCCAGGCCAGGAGCCAGCCTGTGGCTGTTACAGCTCAGGGATGTGATGAACCCACCATACTGCACCCACTGTATGCTCCTGTCTGCCTGCCCCTGCAGGGATGAGGCAGGGCTCTTCCCCACCACACAGCCTCGGTCAGTCTGTGCAGCACAGGCACGCAGACAGAGGTTTGAACCATCTGAGGGAAGAATAGGATGTGGGATGACAAAATGATTCCACAATCCCTTATGGGCTGCCCTGCAGCACATCCACATGCTGCTTGTGTGCTGAAAGCTGATACACACAGAACAGCAGCAGGTTTAATGTGAGAATGGCAGCACAACCCAGCTGAGCACCATTCCAGGAACACTGCGCTCCCTGGAGCAGTTTTGGTTTAAGGGAAGGGGAATCATCAGACTGTCAGCTGACGGGGAGGACGCTACCATCTCCCTGTGCCTGCACTGCCGTGAGCATGGAACAGGCCGCTGCATCTGCGCTTCCCTGCTGTGCAAGAGGTGCAATGAATTGAGTCATCTGTGGAAGCAGAGCCCCAGCTGCTCTGGGTACCGCAGACAAAGGGCACGGGGGACCAGTAACCACATGAGAACTCCCCCCCCCGAGTGTAGCTCCTGGGGAGCTCTGCTCGTCCCGCCGGTTCCCTCACCGTGCCCCGCTTGAATCGCATCCCCCCGAGCCGCGGTACCCGCCGGGATGCCCCGGGCCGGGCCCCGCTCTGCTCCGGGCAGGGCAGGAGGCGGCTGCGGAGGCCGCCTTCAGCACCGCGGACAGCGGAGGGGACCCGCGGAGCCGCGGTCCGGTGCCGGGGGGGGGAACCCGGGGGAGCACCGGAGGGGATGACCGGGGATGGGGACCCTCGGAGGGGGATGCAAAGGGGGGGATGAGCCGGGCGCTGTTCCCCGGCCCCGCCGCGCCCCGCAGGCTCCCGCCGGTCCCCGCCCGCCCGCGCCTCGCCCCGGCGGAGCTCCCCAGTTCCGGTCACGTTGCCGCCTGTTTACGGCGCGGCTGCCGGCGGGCGGCGGGGCCGGGCCGGGCCGGGTGAGGCGGGGCCGCCGCAGGCAGCGCGGGGCAGCGCAGGAGCCCGGCGCGGCCCCGGCCCCGGCCCCGGCCCCGGCCCCGCCGCCGCCGCGTTCGCCGCATGACGCCCAGCGGGCACCCCCCGGGGCCCCGCCGCTCCCCCCAGGTAAGGGCCCGGGGCAGGGCGCGGGGCTGCTGCGGGGCCGGCGGGGAGGGCTCGGTGGCGGCGGCGCTGTCCCGCCC